TAAATGATCAGCATCCTCCACACGACACCAGACACAGGAACGCGATCGGCGCTTCACCTGTTCTGACTGTTCTGGACGGCTTTCTTGCACGGCAAGTGACATGGACTGTACCACCACGCTCAGAACAGCTTGATCAAGCGCAGCGTGTTCTGCTGCCAATGCTGCATGAGCCTTCGACAAGTCAGCCCGGGACGACGCATGCGCCTCGAGGTCCGCGCAAGCCATCCTCTTCGTTTCTTCTTCGGCGGAGAGAAGGGATACCAAGGGTAAGTGCTCCCCTCCGGGGAGGCAGTACCGAAAAAAAATGTGTAGCGGGCGCGACTCACCCCCGCCAAGAAAGGTCCAAATCTCGGACACAGCCTCAATGGCAACATCTGGATGAAAGCTTTGGAACACTCGCGCAAAGTCGCACCACTTGACGACACCAGCTTCTGTGGTGCAGATCTTCCGGAGTTCGTTCTTCAGGTCGGCATCCTTCTTCATGCCGAAGAGCTTTGGCATGCTAGCAAAGTCCTTGGTCAACTCCTTCATGACCGTTTTTGCCTTCTGGCTCACCCCGTTTGCACGTGGAAACCGGCAAGGTGGGCTGCCACCGAAGGGCACAAAGCCTGGATCGCAAGCTTGTCGAAGTGCATCTTTGAACTTGGCCTTTTTTCTTGTCCGGTAGTTGCTGGGTTCAGGAAGCCAGGACTGTGCACACCGCTTTGTCATTGCGAGCTGAGCCGTAACGCTTCCCAAGCACAAAGTTGGATTAAAGTTGTTGAGCGAGGCCGCGGTGAATCTCGCATGTGCATATTCACGGAACTGCGTGAGGCACATAAATGCAGAAGCTCATGTCATATGAGCGACTGTCTAAACTTCGTTCATGTTGGCTCGACCTCCTAGCACTCCACACTGTATTGTCCCCGTTGCTGCTTGTGATGCTAGGCTCTAAACTTGAAACATGCATTCATTCCACATGTGCTTGAGCGGCGTTTAGGGGTTTAGGGTTTAGGGTTCGGGGTTTAGGGTTTCGGATATAGGGGTTTAGGGTTTAAAATTCAGTAGTCACGATGCTTGCTGAATTGCAGGAGCTAGTCTGCTAGTCGTGTGCCCTGTCAGCGCCTAACACGGATAAGAACATGGAGAAGATGTTGCGGGTGACTGTGCCCAGATCTCGGCCCGCATCGAAGGAGACGGATCTGTGGATGTGTCACTACTGACTAACGGCTGACTAGTGGCGCTACAGATGGGAAGCAGCAACAGCACGATCACATAAGCAGAAAACAACTTACGCAACCACCCAGGCAAAAACACCTACGACGATCATCGCAGCAGTTCGGCAACGTGGCAAGGATGATCATAACCTAACGGAAGAGGACTGTGGCAAACATTACTTACGACAAGAGGCAAAAGAGCGTCGGGTTCACTCTCTTAAAATTTGGATGGTGTTCGAGCTTTGCGACCAAGACGGCAGACCTCATTCAGCTCCCGAAATTGGAGCTCATGTACCCTAGGCTCTGAACCGTCTGTGGAGCAGCATTCCCGCACCCACATCCTAAACTCTAAATTGCCCTAGGCCCTGGGGTGTTGCAATGTTCATCACTTCGGAACTCTCCGCCTCCAGCCAGTCCGATAGGATTCTGTGCAGCTCCTGTGCTGCGGCAGGAGCTCAATGAGAAGAGCAACTATGATTGAATGGAGTTGGCAAGTTCGCTGAAATATCAAGCCACACAAGCTCTGAACAGCTCCATGTGTTGGCTTCGGAGTTCGCATTTGGTGGTTTTTCTGTGAGCCTACAGCACCCGAGCTTGCAGGGACTCGGAAAGGTACATGTGTGCCTTACAGTTTAGGGCTTTGGGTTGAAGTCTACATGCACAGTTTGTGCATCCACCGGCGTACTGTGTCTGCTTTAGTCATGTAAACACCTGTACCTATGCAGGTCTACATTCAATTGCCTGTACATAGATGCATGCATACATACATACATACATACATACATACATACATACATACATACATACATACATAGAGACATACAGTACATACATACATAGAGACATACAGTACATTCATACATACATACGTACATACATACATACATACATACATACATAAAGATCTACCTACCTACCGACCGACCGACCCACCGACATCCATCCATTCATCCACTAGTCCCGACTGAACAGGTGCTATTCCGGACAAGCGAAGTGGTGCGCATCGCATTAAGATGCGTTTCTACACCCCCAAAGCGAGTCGGATGTATTGCTCACGGCTTTACATGGCAGCCTGAGAAACAGAAGGACCCGAATATAGATCCTAAATCGCAGGATCCTTCTTCTAAACCCACGACGGAAGGACAGCCCAGATTTCCTGAAACTCCCAAGGTAGGAGCTGGAAAGGCCCTGTGCCAGTACTTCATTCAGCCCCCTCCTGCCCGGCTTCGCAAATGCCTCAGCACGAATTCTTGGGGGTTAATTATAGGGGCCTTCAGGGCTAAGGGAGCTTCGGAAAGCCGTGGCGGCTTGGGGGGCTTCAGCCCTAAGCCCTGAGACCGTAGATCCGCTCTCCGGGGGGATCCGAAGACCTGTCCGAGTGGCCAACGAAGGGTCGCAGAGCCTCGCCGAAGGGCATGCTGGCCTTTCAGGGTCTTGGAGGGTATTTTGGGCGTTCAGCACCTTTGGTCCGTCTGCCGAAGCACCGAAAGGTGCCCCCAGGTGTTTGTCCCCTGCGGGTTTTGGGGGTGTTGGCATTTTGGCGCATCGCGTTGAGGCCTGCAGCTTCAGCATTTTACACATCTTGAGACTTGTGCCCGCCTCCCCGCACTGATTCTAACCCTGGAAACAAGCCTTATTGAAATCCCCCTTAGAGCATGCGATTTTTAGAAACCCCCAGAAGAACCCTAAACCAAGAGGAGGCCCAGAGGGAGCTCCTGTGGCCTCCAAGGCTCGCTGCTCCGGGCCGTTTCCGAGTCCAGGCGCCTCCCAGGGCTCGCCGCCCAGGCGCAGAAGCTTCCTTGGAAGGGGTTTAGGGTTTGGGGGGCAGAGTGGAAGGGCGGAGTGGGTGGGAATAGTGTTTTTTTTTCAGCTTCCCGGTTGCGATTTAACGGTTTGAGCACGGCCATGTGTTCCAGATTGCGGTGTTCCAAAAGCTAGCGGTAGCTAGCTTCTGAGTACTTGTAACTTGATACTGGGACCTTTGTGCGAACCTCCGGCCCGACTGCGTAGGCAGCAAGCATCATAGCACACCGTTCCATCACACCTCCTTCGCCCAAAACACTCTCAACCCTCAATATTTTGAAGGAAAAAGAACACGAAAAGTTGATATTCAACCCTACACGAACAAACCCACACACACCCGTTCATTGAGGAGGGTTCTGCTGCGCCAGTGCCATCAATCCAAAGATTGGCCAAGTCGAAAACATGGCGGCTGAGATGGATGGGATCCTGCACAGAGTAGGCCGTGGCGGAAGCCAGCACATCAGCTGAGATGACTTAGCTCAGGAGCCCGAACCGCTTTTCATGACAGTTCCTTCTAGACTGCGTTCCCACAACCTGTGTCTCCGGCTGCTGACAAAGCATGGCTGCGCTCAGTCTCAGGAGAAGTTCGTGCTTTGTACGAGTTGAGCTTCTTCGGTCTTCTGGTTCAGAGACTCTCTCTCCTCAAGCGCAAGAGGACGAGGGCGTCGGCCAGGCTGTTCACTGAAAGGCTGGCATCGTCGCGAATCTGCTGCAGCGATGACAGGAGGAAGTCCAAGAGCCTGGGACCCCGCGAGACTCATCCGAAAACCCGGGGGGGGAAGGTGGGGGGGGGGGGGGGCCGTTT